TAATTGCAATTGACAGAAGTAATTTATATCAATGTTTTGATTTTGAATTGTGGCAATGCACTGAAAATGCAATATTTTTGACAAACAAACCTTAACCTTTAATATTGATACAACAACAAAAATCGCTTTTTAAAGAAAAAGTTTTCCACTGAGCACCGAGCTGAGCACCTTTTTTCTTGCAGTACTGTATGCTGAAACTGAACGGAATGTGTTCTTCAGAATTGATTAGGTTTCATGGACACATGACAACGTTACCAATTCCTGATTGCTTCCTTGTTGCCGTCTTCTGTAAACAAAGATGATTACTAGTATCGTTACTGCTGAAAACTGGAAAACGCACTAGCGAAAAGTGATATTACCAACTGGTGGAAACTAACGATTTTAAATTGGCTCACTACGTGACTAGCCTATTGGTCCCAAGTACATCTATACCTACTTAAGGGTACACCACCGGAGGTGGAAAGGGCCAACGTGAAAGACTTCCATCCTGGGCGGCTGCTCGCTTTTGCCTTGACCTGGGCCCAGGTCAGATTGCTATCGACATGCTTTATTTCCTTGTTGAGGCTCCGCCGCTACGTTTCGTAAACTCGCAAAAGCAGCCCTAGCCTTCTTGATTCGTGCACCTATGTCGCTCTTGGTCCCGCCGTCCGACGCTATTTGGCTGCCAAGATATTGGAAACTTTCGACATTCACTACACTGCTTGCCCCGCTACCGTAAAGTTGGAAGGGTTGCCCGTGTTTACATCCAACGATTTGGTCTTGTTGTCGTTGATGGTGAGACCCGCCGCCGCAGAGGAGCGTTTGGCTAGGTCATTGAACTTACTCTGCATATCAGAGCGCCGTTGTGCTAGTAGAGCAACATCATCAGCGAAATTGAGCCCACGGTTCGGTACACGGTCAATTGCACCCACCATGATCTCACATCTATAAGTGTACCCCATTCTAGTCGAATTCCAGTACTACAGTTTGTTTTGATTCGCTATGAAAGTTTGACAGATAAAGTGAGGGGTTCGTGGATTTTCCTATGTTTAGAGGGGTGCATCTATTAGCTTGAGACCGAAGATAGTACCAGAGTTGAGCCAAAAAGTTGAGCACGTTTCTTCGGGACCTTCTGGTTACGTCTATGATATTACCAACAATCAATACGAAACTAACGATTTTAAATTGGCTCACCACTTGACTAGCCTATTGGTCTCAAGCAAACGATTAACGTACCCTATTCTAGTCGAAATTCTAGTATTACGCAATGTTTGTTTTGATTCGCTATGAAAGTTTGACAGATAAAATGAGGGGTTATTGGTTTTTCCTATGTTTCGAGGGGTGAATCGATTAGCTTGGGACCGAAGAGAGTACCAGAGCTGTGCCAAAAAGTTGAGCACGTTTCTGCGGGACCTTCTAGTCTTAGAGTTACCTCTATGATATTACTCTCGTTCTATACGTTATACATAGTGTTGGAAGTAGTACGTTGTAATCGCACAATGATACGCTAAGGTGCGCACTACTTCCGATGCTATGTATAACGCATAGAACGAGGGCAACATCGATTTTCTCTAACGGGTTTTTACAGTTTTCAGCTGTAACGACAATATGATTGTACTTGCGTCACAATTATACCAATCCACAAATGGCACAGGCCTAGAAAGCTCTCAATTAACAACTGCATCTAGAACACTAAGTTTAGGGCCGACGTATAGTTTTGGTAATGTATCTTAATGAATAAAATAATAACCTATGTTTTCAGTGTGGAGTTTTGCTCAGAATTCCCTTGTTCCTTCGCAAAATAGTGTAGAGAGAATATCTTGGAGTTCTAGTTGGATGCCTCTTTGGAATTGTCATGAAACTCTCCTTAGAATTGGAAATTTCTTTAGAATCTTCTGCACGGCCGATGAGACTGACTCAGAGGATGGAATTACTTTTACTCGGTTGCATGAGAAATTTATAAAAAACGTAGATCACCTGCGTTTTTATACATTCCTAATACAATTGAGTAAAAGTGATTCTTCGCTCTGAGTTAGTCTCATCGGTCGTGTGCAGTGGCGTCGCGTAACCTCACTTTTTACCAGTGCACCAACTTTCAAAACCAGATTTAATGCCATATTCATACTCGAATCGGTTGAAAAATACACTTAATCTTCTAGTTTACTCGATATCTATCCATTGTAAGCAATATTTTGATGATTGTTTGTTTTGAGAGTTGGTGCACAGGTAGATTGAGGTTAAGGAAACGCCACTGGTCCTGTTGAACATTAATCTATCTTCAAACTAGCTTGAAGTTCTACAAAGATTTTTTGAATTTTTATCCATAGTTAAGTTTGTTTTTGGAATCGTTTACTATCGGACTGGAGCTCTCCTCAAAATTCTTTTATAAATTGATTAATTGATAGATTTTCTGCCTTAGGTGATATTTATGGGTAGTGCCAAGGTAGTGTCATAATTGTACTCGTATCATCATTAAGTTTGTCGAACGTCCTTCCGAGTTACTTTAGAATTACCTCCAGGGATCCCGATAATAGTATCTTCAAAACAACCTTGGAATAAACCTTTAGTTCTCCTGACTATTTTCTTGAAATGCTTCTTAAAATTAACGGGAACTTCTAGTCAAATGTCTTTGTTTATAATTGTCCTCAGAATTCTTAAAGAGAGTAAATTGTTGTGGGCTACAGAATCCTAAAATTTTGTCTTAGTTCAAGATTTACGTTTTTTGTTCATTCCGAGATCCTAAAATAACGCCATGTTTAGAATTTAAATTGTTTTGAAGTTTGAAATTAAGAAAAGTTTACAAGAATGTAACAAACTGATCTAGCCTCAAATTTTCTCATGTTATATTTGAACAATTCCTTCTATCATCAATCTATCATGATACATCATTCGGTCCAATGATTCGTTCGGTCCAGTAGCGTTCTACTTAGTGTCTTTCTAAAAATTTACATGTAACTGAGACTTTTAAACATATTTGAATTTTCAGACTTTAAAAAATTATCTAAATTTTAAAACGCTAACCAGTTTATCTGTACAATACTGCACAGTTTATCTGGTTTCTAATGTAATCGGTTAACAGTTACAGTACCCGTTCGATTTAGGCAACAAGCCCGAAAATTTAGTGTGTCAAAATTGCTCGGTTTTATTTTGAAATTTAATGTATGATTTAGTTGATTTTGAACCACCTTTAGTTTTATGACATAGAAGTTATTAATAATTAATCTTTTATTAAAATTGTATGGACGATTGCAGTGAAAATTTAAGCAGTGAGCCAAAAACTGCCAAGTGTAATCGTCGAACGGTGACCCATAAGTGGTCGAATTAAGAAACCTTACATTACATTCTATCACTCAAATTGGAAACAAATTCTTTAAACTTTAATCGCTGTTCCGTTCTCTGTCAAACATCAGCTGTCAAACTCACAAATTGTCTTCCAATGTGATCACAGCTACAGAGTTTTGTCTGTCCTTACAATGTAATCACCATACAAAAAGGCATAAAAAGGCTGGCACCAATTTGACTGTGACAGTCAGTAGGTAGTGTAATCACGTTGCCAGACAATTTCTCAACAGTAAAGTATTGACAACAGACAAACTGCGACAGAGAAAATGGCTTGTCTGATATACAAGTTTTCAAAATTCTGATTTTTTTTTAATAGAGATGTTTTCCGGTTTTTTGTCTTAAAAATAAAATCCCGTAACTGTTTTCAGCGACACCTACTACTGGAATCAACCAACATGGTAATTTAAAAAAAATATTTTGCTCTTTTTATGAATCCGGGAAAACTATGTTGAACATCCTGGAAAACCCGGGAAAAACGGTAATTCGATTTCTTAAATCCAGTGCCCATCCTGTAATTAATTAATAATAAGTTTTCTTGAAGTTTAATCCGAGGTTCAATAAAAAAGTTGATTTCAACAAAGTTCTAGCTGATTAAATTCTGCATAACAATAGATAGCAAACGTACGGGTATCATTATGGCAAAAGGCTAGGACGATGAGAACAAATTGATAGTAATTCCCTTATGGTTGTAAGCTCCAACCGGTATTATCCTCGGATTAAATCCCGATCAAGAATGTCCGACTGCTTTGATGTTGAAGTCAGAGTTGATCAACACGACTTTATGCAAACATATTGTAGATCATCCAAACAGGGACGGTATTAAAAGTTAATCCGAGTTGGAGCTTACCGCCATTAGAAGTTTCAAAGGGCCAGTGTGGAATGAGATTTCAAACAAACCATACCATAAACCAAACAAACAAACCAAAAATACCATAAACGAACGAATGATAGAACTATTCCACAAATGGTTTGAATGATACTCCGAATAAGTCGTTATGCAAAATAACCATAATAATTTTATTAGGGAATGAGCTCAAATTTAGGAAGAACAATAAGCACCTGATTTAGAGCTGATTGAGCGGGGTGGAGCGAAATCGATTTATTGAACCACCCTAGTAGTACCATGTTTGATTTCTTCTTTTATTTTAATTTATTGATGATGCTGACAAACGCATACAAACAATGTTGGTGCTAACGGTCAGAATGCACAAAAGAAGTCCAGCTGTCAAACACTGGAGCACGTTCATTGGTGTTGGTAAGTTGCATGGACATAGATGGTGCTTGTGGGCTTCGCTCATCATCTGCAGCACCGACCCGACAAGCCGACGACTGCTCGCGATTCATTCGGCCATGTTTGATCGGAAGTAAGAGAAGCAAGCGATCTTCCTCACAGACAGCCACGGCCCGGTCGTGTTTGCTGGCTAAAAAGCGAGAAAAATTCGTCCCCGACCGTGCACCATGGAAAATCCTTCGATTCGGTACATTTGTGGCCATTTGTGATATCGGGAAAAGTGAATATTAGTGCCGAAAGCAGTGCGCGATTGAGCTCCACTAACTTTTCTTTTTCGCTTTTTTCTTCTGTACCATCCGATTTTTTTTCCGGTCGAACGCGACTTGATTCCCGTTCATTTTGGGTTTGCCGAATCCTGCTCTTCCTCCTGGCGACGGCGGCCGTGCAGTTTGTGAAAGATTTTGGATTAGAAGCTGATCGCCATTTGCTGCGTTGTCTATTGTCTGCGGTAGATTTTTCCAGTAGTTCGGCTGGAGGAACCGGAGGAGACGCTACCACCCCGGGACATTCCAGGAGCAATAGCAATAGTAGCAGCACCACCACCAGTACTAGCAACAATAACAACAACAACAATAACCAAAGTAGCGGTCCATTGTCACTGCAAGCCCGTTTGCTGTCGACGGAATTGGTCGGATTGCTGACCAAACCGCAGCTGGTCGGGAACGTTTGCTTCGCGGTGGACAATCCGCTACCGCATCAAAGGGTAAGAGTGGATTTTTGTTGTTGGGTTTGTTGGAAGAGAGATCTTCTGTATGAGCTTGTGTGAGAGGACTCTTTTGTTCTTGTTTTTCTTTTTTTTCTCTCGACTTGCACACCTAACCTCAATGTTGTGCAAGTGTGTGACGAGATGTGGGTAGGGTTACCAGACTAGTTTTATGCAACATAAATAATCTATTCTCATTTTTTCCAAATGCAGACTTTGACCCCGTCGATCAGTCTTGTAACTCGCATCGTAAAGACTCTTAACTGTTCGCCGATCCAGCAAGCCGCTCTTGCCCTTGCCCTTGTCCATTCGTGCCATCCGGAGATTGTACGGAGTGCGGAAGATAACGCTCGTAGCTGCATTGCCGATCTTATTCAATCCTATATTGACCTAGGTAGTTTCCGATATGAATCATTGATAGGAAATTTCAAATTCTAACTTTCAATTATTACAGAATCATCCGTATCAAGTCAGGACGGCAGTCTCAACGACGTCTCTCCGGAACTGTTACAGCACATCCTATCGTTGATATCCCACGAGAAACACCAGGACTTTGGCCTATCGGACGCAACTTACGGAAAGTTTGTACAGCAGCTGTGTCGGGACTTCCCTCGGGATCGTGTACCGTTGATCCTTGCTCCGCTGCTGTACCCAGAAAACTCAGAACTTTCAGCCGAATCGGTGAAGGCCAATTCGCAGTCGTTGCTCCGTTCATCGATTATGGATACAGCCTGGGGTAGTCTGGTGATGGAAATCGGGTACGGTTTCACGGCCTCGGTTGACGATTGCAAGAATCATCTGCTGAAGGTCGGTGGTCGGGAGATTTCCGCTCAGGATGTATCAAAGATCATATCGTCGATGTGTCTAACTCATGCGTCGCTTTCGGAGAGCAGTATCAATTTGCCGACCCCGAGCAGCTTCTGGCCGCAGGGCAGCGATCCTGGAGGGAAAGGGAAGGACGGCCAGAATGGAGGTTCAAGCTCGGAGAACAGCACCTGGAAACCGGAGATTTTCGTGCAGGCCTTGAAGGATGTGGTTCCAAATTTGAACTGGAAGGATGTCTGCCTGGGGTTGGATCATTCGGATTTCTTGATCAAAGACCGACCAGGTTTGGCACTGCTATTGTCTATCGTCAAAATGGGAATGCAGGCCAGCGGCTTGGGACAGAACTTCCCCGTCGAATGCGTCTACCAGCGATGGACGAATGTAGAAGGACAACTGTCGTTGATAACGATGATTTTGAAGAGCCCCGATCTGTACTCGTTTGCGGATCACATCTATACGAGTGTTTCGGTTGATTTGCTGAAGACACCACCGGAAACGGACAACAAGGAAGTGGCCTCATGGTTGTCGCTCCATCTGGTGGACGTTTTGCTGTACGTTGCCGATAATGGGTTCTACGCTCAGGCGATGGAAATCTTCAAAATCCCGATCCAGCTTTGCCCGGATATTCTGTTCATGGCGCTGCTGCAGATCAATCCACCGGTGACCGTTTCCCGTCAGGACTTGTTCACCACGTTGATCCCAATTTTCCTCGGCAATCATCCGAATTCGGGTACGATTCTGCACCACGCGTGGAATAATACCAGCTTCAATCCTTCGTTGAGGCACATCATTCTGCATTCGATGAGCGAGTGGTACCTTCGTGGAGAGAACGATCAATCTCGCCTGTCGCGGATCCTGGACGTGGCTCAAGACTTGAAAGCCCTATCGAATCTCTTGAACGTGCGATCGTTCATATTCATCATCGATTTGGCTTGTCTGGCGTCGCGGCGGGAGTATCTGAAGCTGGAGAAGTGGCTAGCGGACAAGATCCGCGAACATGGGGAGCCGTTCGTCAAGACGATCATCAAGTTTCTGCAGCGTCGTTTTCCGCAAATTATGATGGGAAAGTTTGCCGACGAACAGATTCCGAAATCGGCCCAGCTACCTCCAGAGACGTTGAGCACCATCCTATCCTGTTTGCAGGCGTGCGTCGGAAATGTAAGCCAAGAGGTGGCTGAAATCATTATGAGTATGACCCAGTACAACCTGATGTTGACCAGTAAGACCCGAGCTCAGCAGGCACCGCAGCAACAACAGCCTCCTCCACCGGGAGTAGTTCGGCCGCATCGTGTCCTAGAAGCTTCTTTCAGTGCTTCTGCTCTTGGAGGACAGATCTTCCCCGGACCATCGGTTGAATCGTTGTCCGGTTTAGCAAGCAACATGGCCGGATTAAACCTGGGTGCTCCAGGTAATAGTGCTTTCAGTTTTGGAAGCGCCCTTGGTAATCTGGTGTCAACGCCAGCCTCACCATCCAGACTTCTTGCCGGGCCTTCGAACAGCCCCTTCCCGTTGATGTCGATGCCGCCAAGCGCACCTGTGGGAAACATTGGACGCTTACCGCAAACTCCCACCGGTGATAAACTGACCATACCGAATGCAGGACAGACAAACTTCGCCGAAATCGGATGCCAAGCCGTCTCGAAGGAAGTGGAAGATGAAGCCAACAGCTACTTCCAGCGGATCTACAATCATCCACCCCACAACACGTTGTCCATCGACGAGGTACTGGACATGCTGCAGCGTTTCAAGGATTCTCCGATCCGTCGGGAGTGCGACGTTTATCAGTGCATGCTACGTAATCTGTTCGAAGAGTACAAATTCTTCCCCCAGTATCCGGACAAAGAACTTCAGATCACTGCTCAGCTCTTCGGTGGAATGGTTGAACGGAATCTGGTCACCACGTACGTCGCACTCGGATTAGCGCTCCGTTGCGTCCTAGATGCCCTCAAGAAACCGGACGGATCGAAAATGTATTACTTTGGTATCACTGCCCTGGATCGCTTCAAGAACAAGCTCCATCTCTATCCAAAGTACTGCGAGTACGTCCATTCGATACCCCATTTCGATCAGTTCCCACCTCATCTGATAGAGTACATCGAGTACGGTGCTCAAGGACAAGAACCCCCGAATAAGACTCTCGGACCGGGACCACTGCCATCGTCTATTACGCAACTCCTTCCGGGACCGTCCGGAGTAGGTGGTGGCAACCCACTGTACCGTAGCAGTACCGCAACGGGAACCAGCAACCTCACTTCGGCTGCACCTCCCGCAGCTGCCAAGGTCAATCTGGGTTCCCAACTCGGTGGTGGCACAACGGGTCAACCCGCACGAGTCAAATCCATCGCCAACGCTACCAACATTGACACTCTTCTGGTGGCAACCCAAGATGGTGAGGAAAAAATCATCAACCCACCGGATGCCGTGCAGGATAAAACGGCCTTCATCTTCAACAATCTCAGCCAGTTGAACCTACAGCAAAAGTGCGAAGAGATCAAGGATATCCTCCAGAAAGATTATCACGGCTGGTTGTCTCAGTATCTGGTACTGAAGCGAGCTTCAATCGAAGTAAACTTCCACGTTCTCTACTCGAACTTTTTGGATGCCCTGAAGATTCAGGAGGTCAACAAACTGGTCACGAAGGAAACTTTCCGCAACATTAAGGTGCTGCTTCGATCGGACAAAGGAATTGCCAACTTTTCCGATAGAAGCCTACTGAAGAACCTCGGTCATTGGCTGGGAATGATGACCTTGGGCCGGAACAGACCTATCCTACACTTGGACATTGACATCAAATCGCTACTGGTGGAAGCATACAACAAGGGTCAGCAAGAATTGTTATACGTGGTTCCTTTCGTTGCGAAGGTCCTGGAATCATGCGCCAAGAGCAAGGTGTTCAAACCTCCTAATCCCTGGACGATGGCTATCATGAACATCCTGGCGGAGTTGCATCAAGAACCGGATCTGAAACTGAACCTCAAGTTTGAGATCGAAGTTCTCTGCAAGAATTTGAACATTGACGTGGCGGATTTGAAACCTGCCATCTACCTAAAAGATCCGGAACGTGCCCAAAACATCGAATATCAGCTGTCTCAGCCAAAACCAGCTAAGGAACCCATGCAACCCATGCCGGTCATGCAGGTAGCCGAAGAAGTCGCTTCTGCTGGACCATCCGGATCGCCGGCCACCCCCGCTATGGATCCATCGCTTGCCGTCACCGGTCCACCCGAGCCACGCTTCCACTACTCCGATATCAACATTTCAAACTTTTCCTGCATTAACCAACACGTCACGTACTCTCCCAACATTGCCCTTCTGCACACTCACCCACACCTAAAGCAGATCATCAAGACGGCCCTGGAACGCACCATCACCGATTGGATTACTCCGGTGGTCGAACGAAGTGTCAAGATCGCTTCCAAAACGTGCGAACAAATCATCCGAAAGGACTTTGCCTTGGATCCGGACGAGCAGCGGATGCGTACCGCATCACACAATCTTGCTCGTAACCTTGCAGCTGGCATGGCCATGATAACCTGTCGCGATCAACTGATGCAGAACATCCAGAACAATATCAAGACGGCGTTCATGACCACGCTCAGTCCGGCACAGAAGGACGTCGCGGAAGCGGCTGCAAGTCAGCTGGCAGCGGATAACATGGAATTGGTATCGGCCTTCATTCAGAAGACCGCCATCGAGAAGGTCGTCCCCGAGATGGATAAACTGCTGGCCACGGACAACGAGTTGCGCAAGATCGCCCGTCAGGAAGGTCGTCGCTACTGCGATGCCAGCGTGCTGACCTACCAGGCCGAACGGATGCCGGAGAGGATTCGGTTGAGCGTCGGAGGCGTTTCGCCTAGCCAGTTGGCAGTGTATGAAGAGTTTGCTCGGAACATCCCCGGATTTCAACCGATCACCGACCGGGATAATGCGCTGTTTGCTCCGAAATTGGTAAGATGATAATTGGGTTTTCTTGATGGGAAAGCTTAATCCTAAAATGGGCTTTCAATTTTAGCCGGAAGCGATCCCAGCGGTTCCTCAGTTCCCTGCTCCGGCGGCTGTCACTCCGGACGAGATAGGCGTGCTGTACGATGAATTGGCCAGCAAGATGGAAGCATTCATCAGCAGTGCGGTAAATGTGCCTCAGTTGCATGTAAGTGTGTTTTATTTCATTGAGCATACATTGGCAGCTGCAGGTGCATCATAAAGGGGATTGATGGTCATCCAATAGCAATAGCGCATATTAAGAGTTTAGAATAGAAATGTTACGACGACATGTTGACAACCAGGGAACCTCAGATAGTCTCGTCAGTTAGGGCACAGTATTACCAAGCCAGAGGTGGCGGGTTTCTTTCCCACTCCGGTGGTCTAGAGAATCTTTCGGGTTGAATTTTTTTCAACTTAGCTGGGCAAAGAGTCCCGTTGTGCTTGCTATGCTCTAAATTTAAAACTGAAAATGCAATTGAAAAACACACAGTTGAGAGCCGGAATGAGAGCGTCGAGATGTCAAGGAGTAGATATCGAGAATCAATTCAGCGAACTGTCAAGCCTTATTTTCTGGGGGTAAGGTCTTTTAATAAGGGGCTTGCAAACGATTCATAGCGTATGAACTTGAATGAATTAATTTGATGAGAATTTGTAGGGAACTCCAAGGGAGAAGAGAATCCAGAGGAGAATTCCAAGGGAAGAATTGGGTTGTTTAACTTCGAAAAATATACCGATTTTTATACATTATCTGATAAAGCTTCGTTTTCTGAGCCTAATTGATATTTTTATAAATCCCGTAGACATTCATCTGGATTTTTTGACAGCTTGCTCCCATACAAAGTCCCACCAAGGGGTGCTAAGATGGTGATTTTTGTTAATGTAATCGTACTTATTTAAAATAGTTTCAGTGCACCGAAATTGAGAAAATTTTGGATTTCGGTTCCATTTTTAAGGCAAATAACGAATATGCATTTACTTCAATACTCCTAAACAACCCAATTGTTAGGAAAACTTGAAGTGATGTTTGACGTTAGTTTTGTTGAACTGCATAATCCAAATTACTTACCCTTTGTGGAACCTTAATGCTGGTCAAAGTTACTAATGTCACGTCATTTCCTAAACACTGATCAGTACGTGATACTTCACGTAAATCGAAAGTGACGATTTTTTAGAGTGACAGCCATCTATTTTTTTTCGAATGCTTTTGGAAATCCTGATACATCTAGATCTACAAGAACTCTCAAATTACTGAGCCTTAGAGAATATTTTGGGTGCTACAGCGTGACAATTATCGGGTCTACTCAGAAATTTCATATGAAACAAATGGTCCACACTCAGATTTTGGTTTCCTGATTGATTTAACGGACATGGTTCCTATTGCTGGAGCTGCCATCGCTGATATGCTTTCCCTGTTCTACCAACAAAAACATTTACAATTCCTCATTGTCGGAACACAGGTCCACGTTAACAACATGCATACGCTGCTGGAATGTCTCATCATCGCTCGACGTTCGCGGGAAAACGTTCCCGCTTGCAATCTACTTAACAAAGCCGTCGAAGGCATCATGGAAGGTCTGATGAACATCCCGGATCACATCGATCAGATCAAACTGTACCGTGACATTCACCTGCGGGTGATGCGTCTGCTGCAGGATCAACGCGCCTTCGGGCCGGTATGTACCAACAAAGCGATCACTCGGTACATGTTGGAGTGCCGGGAGGAGATCCGGTACAATGTCGAAGCAGTTGATCTGTTGATTTCGTCCAACTTTGTTAACATGCCGCAGTACGATATGATGCTGATGCAGCTGATGGACAACGGTAACAATTACGTGGCCGTTGTGTTCGCAATGCAACTGGTGCAGACCTACTTCATCGACGAGCGCCCCAATACGGTGATTACCGATAATGATCTGTTGAATACAATCGAACTGCTGGCGAGACTGTCGGCGCATCCCCGAGCTCCGGAAGGTTTGGCTCATCTGATGGAAATGCTTCGTTCGAACCATGATCCCAACACGTTCCTGGTAGATCGTGCCCATGCTGGACCGACGTCATACATCCATTCCGGCATCATACAAGCTAGGGTGAGTGGTTTGATCTTTCACTTATTTGCAGCTACTTTATTAACCTACCTAACTCATTATTCTCAGGCCACCGACATCGAAGATCCGCCGGGCTTTGCCGAACGGGCAGAGTATTTGCTGAAGGATTGGATTACGATCTTTCATACCCAGGCTGCTGGACGGGATCCGATCAAGGCATTTAGCGTCTTTGTCAACAAGATGAACGTGTACGGAATCCTGAAGGGAGATGAACCGCTGACCAGATTCTTCCGTCATGCTACGCAGTGCTGCATCGATCTGACGTATCGCAACATGAACGATCCGAAGACGAAGATCTTTCAGTGGATCGATGCGTACGTTCGGTTGATTGCGCTGTTGGTCAAACACTCGGGTGAAAGTGGAAACTCCAGCACCAAGCTGAATCTGCTAAACAAGGTTCTTGGCATCGTGGTTGGCATTCTGATGCAGGATCAGGAAGTGCACGGCACCGCCTTCCAGCAGATGGGTTACCATCGGATTTTCATTATGCTGTTCCTGGAGCTGAGCGCGCATGATCCCGTGCTGGAAAATATCAGCCTCAGTGTGATCACTGCCTTTTGTCACACGTACCATATCCTGCGGCCTTCGCTTGCTCCGGGATTCTGCTATTCTTGGTTGGAGCTCATTTCGCATCGTGTCTTCATCGGTCGCATTCTGGCTTCGATTCCCCAGCAGAAGGGATGGTCCATGTATTCGCAGCTGTTGATCCATCTGTTCAAGTACCTTGCGCCGTTCCTGCGTAATGCCGAATTGGCCAAGCCGGTTCAGCACCTGTACAAGGGAACGCTCCGTGTGCTGTTGGTTTTGTTGCATGATTTCCCGGAGTTCTTGTGCGACTACCACTTCGGGTTCTGCGATGTGATCCCACCGAACTGCATTCAGATGAGGAATCTTATACTTTCGGCGTATCCGAGAAATATGCGCCTGCCCGATCCGTTCACACCGAATCTGAAGGTAATTTCTAGTCTTAGCTTAAACCAATTTGGTGAAATTATTTTTATTTCATTTTCAGGTCGACATGTTAACCGACATCGGCGGCTCGCCACGCATCTTCACCAACTATGCCGCGGCAATCACTCCGAGCAGCTTCAAAAAAGATCTAGACTCATATCTGAAGGCCCGTTCGCCGGTAACGTTCCTCTCGGAACTGCGTAGCAATTTGCAAATCTCGAACGAACCCGGTTCCCGGTACAACATCCCGCTGATGAATGCCCTGGTGCTGTACGTTGGTACCCAGGCAATCGCTCATATTCGGTAATGTGAAAAAAAAAACCTCTATCACTTTGGCTAAAGAAGAAGTAACTTATGACCTTTTGTCACACCCACATTTAGATCGAAAAATCTGGGTCCCACGATGGCCACCATCGTACACAGTGCCCATATGGATATCTTCCAGAATCTGGCGGTAGATCTGGACAACGAGGGTCGATATCTGTTCCTGAACGCGATTGCCAACCAGCTGCGGTATCCGAACAGTCACACGCACTACTTTAGCTGTGCGATCCTTTATCTGTTCGTGGAAGCCAACTCGGAGGCGATACAGGTAGGGCTTTTTGAATGTACAGATTTGCCAGCAACATGATATGACCGTTGAAAATTACAGGAGCAAATCACTCGCGTTCTACTGGAACGATTGATTGTGAACCGCCCGCATCCGTGGGGACTGCTGATCACCTTCATCGAGTTAATCAAGAATCCAGCGTACAAATTCTGGGACCATGATTTCGTTCACTGTGCACCGGAAATTGAGAAGTATGCTCGGAAACCATTGTCGCTGGAACTAGACCAGTTAATCGAATATTTTTGCCTTCTTTTAGATTATTCGAGTCGGTAGCCAACTCGTGCATGGTGGTCAAATCCAAGAGTCAACCGCAGATGCCAAACGTGGAGTCGGAAATAGCGGAGTGCAACTAGAGGCGACCAACAACCTCTCGAAACGACGATCTATAGCGCTAGTGTTAAGTGTAAGCGAAAAGAACCGTTCTAACCATGCAATAGAAATTCATTTTGATCGAACAGTGCGATGAGATGTTGACATCTTAAACAACCGTGTGACCACTGTAAGCCGAGCCGATGAGAGCGTTGAAAGTGTATTTTTTTATGAATTTTAAGATGAATCATTTTCATACTCACTGTTCGCAGGTCTGTTTTTATAGCTGAATAAGGAGTTATTTTCATTCTGTATATAAATATCATAATTTTTAAAACTAAATCATGTTTAATAGCACATACGGAAGGATAATTACTGTCGATAACCGCTACAGCACAACTCTCTTTATAAGTCTTCAACAGATGGTCCAACAATAAAAGCAAAAAAGCAACCTTAATACAAACAAGATTGTGAATGTCAGTGTTCGATGGTGTCCTTCTCAATCTCGTGATAAATAGCGGCGGAGCAAATGGGTTTGAAACCTGCTCAGCGCTAGAAATTACAGAATTAGGCTGTATAAAAATTGATTCGGCAAGCAAAAACCTATAAACATGATAATGGAAAGAAAAATGTAACAGTGTCTTAGAGCTTAGGCGTTGATAAGTGTGCGTTGTTAGTATATAATCTCTCATGTAACTATATTCAACTGATCAATGATTCATATTAATATACTGTAAAATAATCGATGAATATTCCGGTCTGCTGTATTTGTGGTTTCGTGAAGAATGGCCCTTCAATTATTCGGTCGAAGTGTTCGGGTGGATAAGTAAGTCGTAAAGACAAGCCCACATATAGTATTAACATATACTGATATTAGGTTATGTTCGGGGGGCATAGAGTATGATTGTACTTGCTTACCATACAATTATACTAATGCAAAAATGGTACAGGCATCGAAAGCTCTCAATTAATAACTGTGGAAGTGCATCTAGAACACTAAGTTGAGAGCACGCAATAAGCTAATATGCGATATGCAGAAGAAGAAGAAGAAATCACGTAAACTCATGTTACGTAAGCAAAAATCACACAACCGCACATAGAAGTTTGATGTGAAAATGTTGTCACACTCATCATCAGCTCCAGTGAAGATGACATGATATGTTCATCAATTTCACTACCATCATGTAATCATGAAAGCATTCGAAGCAGCTACGTGATTCTTACGTAGATTTGACGTGTATATGTTTTTTTTATATTGCGTGATAAAATTTCGTACTTTAATAATGAAAAATGTGAAAACATAATCAAGCCAGTTTGTTCCATCAAGTAAAATAATCGCATATTTTTGTTTATTTGTTATGTTTGCATCAACAGACTAGAAATATATTCCCAATGATGTGTTGTAAAAAAAGTACAAATTATAAAGGCTACATACATATACTACAGTTACAAACGAAAATAACAAGGAAAGCATTGTCAAGTTACTGAAAAAGTCTTAAATTTTACACTTTAGCTGTTGGGCGTCAAACGCCTTCGGTCAGCAAAAAAGGCAGAGAATCTTCGGCGAAGTATATTCCACGTCAAGTGGAAATCGAACCTCGACGCTACTCGTTTGAACCATAGAGGTAACTCTTAGACCAGAAGGTTCCGAAGAAACGTTCTTCTTCTTGTTCGCATTTCAAGCTTATTGCTTAGCGCATATTAGCTTATTGTGTGCTCTCAACTTAGTGTTCTAAATGCACTTCCACAGTTATTAATTGAGAGCTTTCGATGCCAATACCAATGCATAAATTTGTATATTGTGTGGCAAGCACAATGATACTCTATGCCCAGGGAAGTCGAGAAAATTTCCAACCCGAAAGATTCCCTCGACCGGACCGGGAATCGAACCCGCCGCCTCCGGCTTGGTATCACCGTGCCTTTACTGACTAGGCTATGACGAAGATACGTGCTCAACTTGAAATTAACGTATCCCATTCTAGTCGAAATTCTAGTACTACATTAAGTTTGTTTTGATTCGCTATGAAAGTTTAACAGATAAAATGAGGGGTTCGTGGATTTTCCTATGTTTAGAGGGGTGCATCGATTAGCTTGGGACCGAAGAGAGTACCAGAGCTGAGCCAAAAAGTTGAGCACGTTTCTTGGGGACCTTCTAGCAACAATCAATACGAAACTAACGATTTTAAATTGGCTCCCTACTTGACTAGCCTATTGGTCCCAAGCAAACGATTAACGTACCCCATTCTAGTCGAAATTTTAGTACTACGCAATGTTTCTTTTGATTCGCTATGAAAGTTTGGCAGATAAAATGAGGGGCTAGTGGTTTTTCCTATGTTTCGAGGGGTAAATCGATTAGCTTGGGACCGAAGAGAGTACCAGAGCTGAGCCAAAAATTCGAGCACGTTATTTCGGGACCTTCTAGTCTTAGAGTTACCTCTATGCTTCTAGTCTTAGAGTTACCACTATGATAAAACTGTTGCGTAGTGATCGAGGTTGAACATTAATGTTCACTTGTTCCAGAATTGCTTCGCAGTCGATTCTTCCTTGCAGAGTATCGGCGACGGTTAAGGCTCTGAAAACATCTCTTCGGATACGTAAGGGCTCGACATTGATCAATTGGCAGCGATTCTCGTAGCTTGGAAGGCGAAGTGGGTATCTCCAAGGGAGCTAACGGAGCGCGAAGCGATGAAAACGTCGTTGCACAGATTCAATTCGGGCTCCATTGTAGTTCGGGCTCCAGACTGCAGAGCAGTATTCCAAAGTAGATCGTACGAGAGAGCAATAGCAACAATCAATACGAAACTAACGATTTTAAATTGCCTATTGGTCCCAAGCAAACGATTAACGTACCCTATTCTAGTTGAAATTCTATTACTACACTATGTTTGTTTTGATTCGCTATGAAAGTTTGACAGATAACATCAGGGGTGTGTGGATTCATGCAGAACATGCAGGGGTGAGTGATATAGCTTGGGACTGCTTGGGACCGTTGTTCTGGTACTGAGTGAGCCAAAAATAATAATGATTTTCTTCGGGACCCAGTGGTCTTAGAGTTACCTCTATGGCAATAGAGCGATTTCAAGCAGTCAATGTATGTGAAGTTCTTAGTAATCTTGAAGACAAAGCCAAGCGTTCTGGACGCTTTGTCGACGATATACGATATATGGTGTGAGTATGTCAGCTTTGGGCCTAGAAAAACGCCTAAGTCTTTCACGCAATGCACCCGTTCGATAGTCGTGCCTAGTAGTTTGCAGTTGAAAATAATCGGTTGTTTCTTGCGTGAGAAAGTAATGATTGTACACTTAGCTGGGTTGACCACAAGTCGGTATAGACTACACCAGTCAGCAAAGATGTCAGTCTGATTTTGGAAAGAACGGTAGTCGGCGATTGAACGGATGCGCAGAAAAACTTTCAGATCGTCTGCAAACGATAATCGGGGCCCTGGTGAACGTCGTCGAAGTAAAGGAAAAATACCAATGGTCCCAGACGGCTGAGGTATACCGGACTTGCGCAGAAGCTTGCTGAGTGACAAGTACCAAAAGTTACTGTCAGTTGGCGCTCCGTGAGGTATGAACGAAACCATCTCAAAACATTTCCACCGATCCCTAGCCTATCAAGCTTAGCGATCGCAATTTCGTGGTTCAGCTTATCGAAGGCTGCCGTAAAATCTGTGTAAATCACGTCCGTTTGGGTCCGAGCAATCAAACTGTCTGTGATGTAAGACGTTAGGCACAGCAGGTTGTAGTTGTTATGAATCCGTGTTGATCTATACTTAGATATTGCTTGCAATGCGCATTTAGGAACTCTATGACAAACAGTTCAAAAAGTACTCAGCGACGTGTTTCCCCGGTAGTTGTTTACGTCGCGTTTGTTTCCCTTTTTATGAACAGGAAACATATCCGCAGTCTTCCAGTAAGACGAAAAGATACCGCTGGAAAGAGAGAGAGAGCTGGAATATGCGGCGCAGTGGATCTAAAAGACAAGTGATGTTTTTTTTAAGAATAATCGACGGAACACCATCGGGTCCAGCCTTAGCTGAAGTCTTAAGTTTAGATGCTGCTCTAGAAATCGTATCTGTAGTAGCGTCGACAACGCTGAGAGCGTGACTGCTTTATCATCCCAATGGGTCTGGGTTTTTTTTTATGGTTTCAAAATCGGTATTACTTTAATGTTATTGGTTTTTGAATCTAAACGAATAGATAGAAAATATATTATTTGTTTCAAGATACGTATTCAATTGAACTTTAATTACGAAATTTATAATATTTAACAAAACGCAAACCATTGATAAAGGCTCGGATAAAGGTCTGTAGCATTATTTGATTTTTTTTGGTATGGTTTCAAATTTGGTAGGGGAAATGACGGCTTCGGCATGACAGACTATTTTCGGCAACCCAAATTGAAACACTATTTTCACTGGATTTTCTTACGAATACACTTCGCTGAATGCATGCAAACGATTCTTTATGCTTTCAGCTTCAATTTGACTATATTTTTACCACTGAGAAAAAGCAATCTAGCAGGGTTTTCTTGAAATGAAACACACGCACTACAAATTGTAGCTGATTTCGAGTTGCCGATAATAGAACAGCAGATTTACATGCAGTTCAAATGGAACGGTTGCCGACAATACTCGCTCTCACTAGAAAAGATTGGAGCTTTGTAAAAGCGTTTCAAAACAGTTTTTGACAATTCTTTCGACTGAAATTGTTAGAGCAGCTGGCAGAAAAAGATTGTAAACAAACCAATACTGCATATGTGTGCGTTCCATAGAGAAAAAGGCTATAGAAAGAAGGTCGCTGCTTAGGTTGCCGAGAATACGTAAATTCCCCTATTACTTTAATGTCTCGCCCAGGCATGGAAATTCATTTACATTCATTTGCATCTAGGATTTGATACTGTTGTGAATTTTTCATATCTGTATCTCTTTATGCATGATGAGTCAGAGCGAACAGAACCAACCATTGTTTTTCAGTGAATGTAAATTGCATTCACTGATAATCAAAAACAAGTTCTGTCCACTCTAGTTCGTCATATATAAGAGAT